TTAACTTGAAGGGAGTGTTAGTCTTCCAGCCTGTGACTTGGGCTCTGTTGTGTCCTCATGGAGAGTGTGGTTTGGGTGTCTCCGTACCAGGTTTGATCAAGCCTCCAACTGGGGATGTCACTTCCGTACCTCTTCTGCTCTCAGGGGGTCGTGTTGCTCTGGGAGCCTGGTTCTCACCTCGATTTGATCAAAACAGACATGCGACTCCCTGAGACATCAATGACCTTTTTAAAATTCCGTGTCCATGGAGTGCCTCCTTCCAGACGGCTCCGTTCTCGTCCATCTATTAGCCCACACTCGGTCCACAGGCAGCAGTAGTTATCGACCCACCTCGATTGTGCCAGGCTTCGTGCTGAGGGCCGGGCATGCAGAGAGGCAGTGAGGCTCACACACTGCTCTGCTCAGGGCTCCGAGTCTGCACACTCTGGGGGAGACGCCCATCCGTGCTCAGGGACCCCGAGGGATGAGTTGGCCCTCCAGACTCCTCCACAGCAAGGGGAGGGAGAGAGAGAATGGCTTTTGCCCTTACTCTGCCGCGCTGGAGTAAAATGCCCTTGATACTAAGATGTTCTGGGAAGAGATGACAGTTCTAGTTCTAGCCGTAAAGGGCCCATGGCGCTTGGTCGAGGCTCTCGGGACCGTCTGCTCACCACCACGCACTAACAGGTACCCTTGGCCTCCTGCGATGGTGGAGGCTGGGCCGCCTGGAGGCCACAGGAGCCCAGTGTACACCTTGACTTCCACCTTCAACTCCTTTCTTCTTCCTGCAGTCAGCCAAGGAAGATGGGAGGGAGCCCCACCTTGTAACGAGGGAGTGAGTGGTGGGTGAGCTGTCTCCCACTCCTCCCACTCCAACCCTGGGAAGTGGGTGCAGTTGCAGTGGCCTGGAACTATTAGGAACCAGGTCAGCACCTGCACTCCCCCGACCCTGCCCTATCTTCCCTACCCCCAGTGCCAGACCCATCAGTTGGGGTGGGACAGGAGCAGATCTGAGCTGGCAGCCCCCTCCACCAAATCTGAGCCTTTGCAGCCATCCATCACCCTCACAGAACAGCACAACTTTATGCCTGTGCATAAAAGCTGGAGGGACTCGTCCTGGAGTTTGTCGCCGCTGCCGTAAGAGCAGTTTTAATTAGCTGCAGGATTTTAATGAGCTGAAATCAAGAAAAGCCCAACTCCGAAGTAAGTGGGAACAGCACACAGGCAAGAAGTAGTCTGACAAAACAGATGGAGGCGGTGCTCTCAGGGGACTGGGCCATGCGCTCCGCCCAGCAAGGAGCAGATGACAGGGGCAGCTGAGGGGGTCAGCCACCAATGCCCGGCGCCTGCAGCAATGGGGACAGAGCCGACCGCCAGGTCCCCTCTGCACCACAGCAGAAGGTGCGATCTCGGGTTCAAGGTGATGGCAGTGCCTGGCTCCATTCTCCTCAAGTTGCCATAGCAGCCTGTCTCCTGGCTGCTTCTGCTGGAGTCTCCACCAGCAGGGAGGTCATTGCTCACTCCTGCCCATGTGAAGAGGAGACAGACACACAGAGAACTTTCTCAGGCCCTGGGCCCCTGACCACATGGGTGCTCCCAGGTCACTGCCTGGAGTGGAATGCAGACAGGGTTCCCCTGGGTGCCTGGGAGATGTCCAGGCCTTGGAGCAGCCGCAGCCCAGCGTGTCCTTGGAACCATCCGGGTGTCTGCTTGCCCGCCAGCCAGTCCGTCGACACAGGAGGTGCGTGTTTTGGCTGAATTCCCAAGTCCTTGCTTGTGCCTTGAAATCAATTTCCCCAAAGAGACACAATTTTAAGTCAAATAAATAAGGAAATGGGAGGAATCGTTGGCCTTGCCCTGAGCCCCTGAAAGTGTTTACAAGATTAATTTGTGGATCTGTTGGTGGTTTTTTTCTTTCTTTTCTCTCTCTTAAAGTAAAAACTGGTGATGCCATTGAGACCTTGGTGAGAGAGCTCCCCACGGGGACTGTGAATGACCGGGAGGCCAAGAGCTCCTGGGAGCGGAAACAGGCTGCTTATTTTTCTTGCATGAGCCCCACTCCCAGCTGTGTGAATTTCTTGGAACAGAGGGAAGGAGGGAGCCATGGACACCATGCGTAATGAAGGCGGGCCTGTCCCTGTGGAAGCTCAAGCTTATGAATCTATTTACAGTCCCACCGCACACCCTCCCTCTGCCCCTACCCCAGCCAGGGACAGGTTACAGCATCCACTTCCAGGGAGCTATTCAGCTCCCCTGAACAATAGCACAGACTTTGAAGACAAAAACCCTCTTGGAACTAGGGGCGGGGAGGGGGGCAGCAGAAATGTGGGTGCTGTGGAACATTCTGTGAGCTGATGCTGACTTCCCACCAAGCCCTGTGTTGTGGGTGGGAGCTTCCCACAAATCCAGGGGACCCAGCCACACTGGCCAGGAGGACAGGCCGGCCCACCTCTGATACCCATTTATCTCTGGAGCAGAGTCAGCTGGTCAGATGGTCCCCAGAGAGACAGAGCCAGGGCTGGGGGGAGGCATGCAGAGCGCCAACACCAGCCTCGCTCGGCGGTGGGTGGGACTCAATTGCTCTCTTGGGAGCCGGCAAAGAGGACAGTTTTGGAAAAAGACAATTGCACACAGCAGATGCTCCTGCTGCTTTGCTGGGGCAAGGTCAGCCTGAGTTCTCTTCTCCGCCAGCCTGGGGCAGCCGGGGGCAGATTTCATTCCCCACCCCCAGGCAGATGGACAGCCAGAGCACCAGCTACTGAACAGAACTGGAGCGATGATCCCACGTGCTTGATGGGGAAGCCCTTCCTCAGCCAATTCAGCGGGTGCCTGAGTGCACCAACCATGAACTTCTCCTGTATTCTCTCCCTTGCTCCCTTACTGTTTTGACGTTGAAAGTCACCACTAGTCCTTGTTCAGGTTAGCCTCCTGGGGTCTGACTCAGGAGGCCGCAATGGCTGCAGGAAGTGAGCCTCCGCTGTGGCTGGCATGGTCATAGGGTGGTGACAGCCTCTTTGCAGCGGGTGGCCATCAGCTCCGTGTGTATGTGTGTGAGTTGATTGCCAGAGTGAATACAGACATGTGTGTCCATGCATGCACCAATGGAGGGGTGCTGCATGGGGATCCGCGCAGGTGTCAGATGGGGTGCCTGTGTGAGTGTGCCCAGCAGCAGCTGCCACTCCAGAGAGGCCTTGAACTACCTCCCTGCTCCCCCGCCAGGAGTTCGGTCCTCACTATACCTGCGCATCATGTCCTTTCCACTTTTCTAACTCCTGTCTGAGACAGCTGGGCATCCCGCGGGGTTCAGCCCGCTGCTGTGAGAGCTGGGAGAAGGTCAGGGAGACCAGATGGCTCTGCTCGTCCTTCCCTCGTCCTACGGCATGGCTGCTGGCAGCTGATGGAGCAGACCCTGCGTGCAAGGCCCGTGGTTGCTGGGGAGGGGCTCAGGATACTTGGACAGCAGGTCCGTCCTTTGGTGAGGCCTGGAGGCTGTACTGCCAGCCCCCCAGAACAGTCCCTTGAGGGAAGGGCCCTGAGGTTTTAAGGTCGCGTGGCTAGGCCTGCCAGCAGGGAGGACAGGGTTGTCCCTGGTTGGTGGTGGGAGACAGCTGCCTTTCTTGGTAGCAGGGGCCACCAGAAAGCTGGGAGCCAGCTCCAGAGGCACAAAGAAGCCAGCTGGATGCTGCCTCCTGTGCATAAAAGCCAGGGAGGTCGTGGGAACCACCTGTGCGTCGCAGTCCAGGGAGCTGAGCGCCCAGCGCGGAGAGGCCCGAGGCAGGTTAATTAAAGTTAACTGAGTGAAAAAATAATTACAGAGACTGCAGAGAGAAGAAACCCAAACCTGCAATTTATACTCAGCAGCTCTGGAGCTTTGCTGAGAAGCCAGAGCCAGAGCTGGGTGGGGGAGGGGTGGCCATCAGGCTGGACCAGCCACTGCTGTGGCCACCACGTCAAGGATGCCTGATCAGAAAATTATCCTGCAGCCGCACAGCACGGCTGGCCAGGCCTGCCACCACCCACCTGCCTGAGGTCTCAGAGCTGCTGCTGGCCTCACTGTGCCAGGGTAGGGAAGTTGCCTTCAGGCTCCTTGGGAGAAAGGATGGAGGGAGGCGTGTCCCGTAGCCTGGGCCACATGTTGGCGAGAGGAGGTGCCTGCACAGACTCCGTCCTCAACACCTGCCTCTTCCAGTCACACTCACTCCCAACTCCCTCCTACAGTTCATGACCTTGGAGTGCTTCTGGCTTGAGCCGCAGCCCTGCCCAGGATTATCAGGCATTCTTCCTCTGCCTTACAGGAGGAACTACAGTGAGGACAAGCCACATAGACACACCCTGAGTGTCCATCAACAGGGGTGGGAGCGAGGTCGGCGCCCAGCCCCTGAGCCGCCAAACCTGGTGTCAGCCTGTCCCATCTCTGCTCTCCCAGCCAACGATTTGGAAAGTGGGGACAGCCATGATCTAGCCAGAACTTCAGTGGTAGATTCCATGGGGCCTTAGTCCCTACCAGCCCATGTAGTCCGCCAGGGAGAACAGCTCTGCCTGGTGCTGGGCTGCCCAGGCTGGGCCTGGCAGCTTAATTTCATAGCCTCCCACTCCATGGAAACCACATCCCCAGCACATTGCAGAGAGGCGTTAGAACGGTGTTGAGCCAAGGGGGTCCTTGTCTTTCCAGCCAGTTGCTGGGGATGTGGAAACTGGATCCTGGCCTCGAGCTAAGGCCATGCCTGGGGAGCCACATGTTCGTCTGGAGGTTCAGGGAGGCTGGAGTTCAGATCCCACTGGGGGTCTCGGGCTCCCACCTGGACACCCTCAGCGGCCACGACCAGAGCCTGTGTTTGCATGTGGTTTCTGGTTCTGCCAGGGTGTAGGAGGACCTGAGGGAGAAGCTGGGTTCATGACCACAGGCTGCAGGGGATTTCCTTAGGCCTCCCTAAACAGATGCCTAGGTAAGCTCCAAAGGGACCCCACAATTGTTGGGGTTACCCGCTGGGATGCCCTAACTCTCACCCTCTGCCCTGCAGACCTCGGCCTGATGGATGCCTGGTGTGGATGATGAAGGAAGAAGGGGCCTCCCGAGCCCCAGAGGTGACCCCATCGTGTGCCCTGGAAGACCCAGCAAGCCAGCACCATGCGGCTGGCCTGCATGTTCTCATCCGTGCTGCTGTTTGGTGCCGCCGGCCTCCTGCTCTTCATCAGCCTGCAGGACCCCACGGAGTTTGCGCCCCAACAGGTGCCAGGTGAGGCCTCGCCCTGAGCAACGCCCCCCACCCCGACCCCTCCAAGGCACAGACCTCCACAGCTGCCTTGGCAAGCCGTGGATTGGGGCACCAGAGGAAGTACCCTGGCTTCTCCCTGCTGAGTTGATATGGAAAGGCTGTGTCTGGTGTCAGACCACCAGTGACAAGGCTCTGATCTCTGACCTCTGACCTGCAGCTCGCACATAGCAATGAGTATGCCTCTTAAGGGTGATGACCACACTGCCCATCTTTCTAGCCAGTGGTGGCCTTCAGTGAAACTCAGATTTAAGGAGAGTTCTGCCATCTGTAGAGACTTCTTTGTCATGGGACATGAGAGGGGGAGTAATTTTTTTCAAGTATATATCCATCAGGTTATGTTCAATCTTGCTACCCGGTTCTGGGGACCCTTATGGGTTGGGATATATCCTGCCCCCTATCAGTACCCACTACTTACCTGGAGAGGAAAGAAAATTAGGGTCTCCAGGTTCCTACAATATCAGCAATGGGTCCTGGCAGGGAGGTGCTATGAATCCTCTCGCAAGATCTGAACACACGGACCCATGCATTCACCCTCCCGGGCTTGCTCAGTGTTGTGAACTCAAGGCAGGATGGAGGGGCAGTGGCAGACAGAGGAGGAGTCAGGTGGTGTGGCTTCTTGTGCCACCCCTGCCTGCAGCTGCTAGCAAGGGAGCTGGGCACACAGCCTCAGGGTGCCAAGCAGAGGGAGGGGTTCCTCAGGCTGCACCCTCCTGCCCAGCCACACCGCAGCTCTCTCCGGCTCATACCCTTAGCAGAGCTGCACCTGCTCCCTGCAGATCCTCCCCTCATGTTTCCCTTCTGCAGAGGGGCCTAAGCCCACACGAAGGGCCTGGGCACCAGGGGTAAGGCAGAAAGAAGGAGCGCAAGGAGGCCAGAGCCCAGGCCAGGCGTGGCAGCCCCTGCTATCGGCCCTGCGTAGGACAGGCCAAAGGAGAAGTTGTTTCTTTCATCACACAATGTGAGAGAGAGACAGCCCGGGGCCCTCGGGAGGTGACAGACGCATCGTCAGTGCTGACGCACGCCTGGCCAGACCCCCACAGCCAGCGGCTGGCGGAAGCAGGTCTGGCTGTTCCTGTTCTGAAGCAGGCTGCTCTGCAGGGACCTTGCAGCCGCTTATGAGCCTAGAATAGCCGATGACAACGCAGCGGCAGAACAAGGATCCAGTAGCGTCATCATTGCTCCCCATGTTACCTGTGCGGAGGCCAGCTTGGGCCACAGGATGCCTAAACCCTGCCTGTTGGGACTAGTACTGCCCATCCTTAGTGCACACCATGTTGGGGGGTTTGGGATGGGCTCAGGGGCACACACCAGAGCAGGGAATATAGGTGCCCCGTGTCCACTTCTCTGTGGGATGAGCATGAGTGTGATCTGCCATTTGCTTGGCATGTTGGTCCTAAGTCATCAGCAGCATCCTCCAGGGCCAAGCAGTTGTGTTCCCGGGATTGCTAATGTGGGAGCAAAGAGCTCCTTTCTGCGGGTAGAAACGGGCACTGCCCTGCACAGCTGTCCAGGTGCACTGGGTGGGGGTCCCAGGTGGGGTGGGGGCCCACAGGATTTTAGGGGGATGGGGGAGCTGGGAGTTTCAGCCTGGCAGGGTGGATAGCATGATGTAAAGCTGAAGATAGAATCCCCCTTCATCTGGGAAATCAGGGGCATTGCCAGGGACTCACTCAAGCCCTGATCTTGCTTCGGTGCCAGCAGCAGGACCACCCTCGCCACATGCCAGGTGGTAGACACCCTTGCCGTTCTATACCTCCGTCATCAAATACAGTTATAAAACTTTAAGTAATGCTTTTGTTACTTTCCCTGAACAAAGTGCTCCTGACACAAGCTGTTTGTGTTGATTTGTTACTATTCATTTATTCTTTCCCAGTGCTTCTCACAGCCGCCTAATTGTGATTCGGTACCAAGAAAGCAATATCAAAGTAATTTTCCACAACATTAGTTACAATTTTCTTCTGATCTTTGGAGTGAAACAATCCCATCCTGTTGGCTTCTCTGAGCATATAAACCTTGATTACATTTATCTGTTGGAAACTGGTGCTTACAAAGTGTCTGTGTCCAGTTTCACGGCTGAGTGGTCCCAGGGGCACCCCCAACACGCTGCTGCCTCTCCCCACCCATGGAGTTCTGTCCACGAGAAATGTGGACATGGGATCTGACCAGGCCATGCTGGGGTCTCATAGACAAAAGAAACTCCACAGGATGGTGTAAACTTTTGGGGGACATAGAGTTCTTTGGGATCTGCTGTGAGGAGGCAGGCAGAGAAGGGGCAGGTGGAAAAGCAGGAACCAAGGTGCAGGAGCCCCTTTGAGCTGCTTGGGGACTCCCCAGGGGCTGGTGTCTTTCACATCTGTCGCTTGTAGCTACAAGATATCAACAGCACCTGAGCATCTCTCGGAGCCAGTAGCCAGCTTCGCCTGCCCGTACATCACGGGCAATTTGTGGGGTTGGCAGATTTTGTAAAATGATCCTATTTTTGAAAAGATTTATTTAAAGGAGAGAGAGATCCTCCATCTTCTGGTTCACTCCACAACTAGCCACAATGGTTGGAACTGAGCCAAACTGAAGCCCGGAGGGTACAGAGTGCCCAAGGACTTGAGTCATCCTCTTAGCTTTCTCAGACCATAAGCAGAGAACTGGATCAGAAGTAAAGCAGCCAGTACCTGAACCGCCACCCATATGGGATGTTGGTGCCACAGGCAGCTCAACCCATCATGCCATAATGCTGAGCCCAAATGATCATATTTGGTAAAAACTCTTGCAAAGTGGGTGTTTGGCACAATGATCTAGTTGCTGCTTGGGCCATCCAGGTCCCGTGTCTGAGTGCCTGGGTTGAGTCCTGGTTGCATCTTGCTGTATGCTTCCCATTTGGCTCCTGCCTCCTGCGTACCTTGGGAAACAGCTCAAGTGTTTGGGTCCCTGCCTTCCATGGAGTTCCCAGGCCCTTGAGTGGAGGAAATCAGCAGTTGGAAGATTCTCTCTGTCTCTCTGTCTCTCTCTCTTTTGTTCTGCCTCTCTGCCTTTCAAATAAAATAAAAATGAATAATCTTATCTCTTTTTAAAAATGTTTTTGCTATCTTTGAAGCCATACCTGTGCTAAGTTCAGATGCTCCTGTGTTACCAGAGAAATTGCTTACCCAGTCACAATCATTCTCCCATCTCCAGTAGCATCATAGTCTGAGCCAGGACACCTGCCCGCAAGAAACTCACTTCTTTTCCAAGCAGATGCATCTCTCTCTTCTCCTAGTGGACTCAGAGTCCCAACTAGAGCTGGAAAACACTGCCCAAACTTTGCCTCTAAACAACCAGGGTAGGTGAGAGCGACACAGCCACGCCCCCTGGCCCCCTGCCATGCATCCCACTACCCCCATCCCCACTCACAGCCTCATTTTTTTGCCTCGTTCTCTCTGATTCTGGAATCAGCCTTGCCTATCTAATTGCTTCAACCATTTCAATGCATTTCTCAGGTAAAACATTTCCACTAAGTCAATGTGTTGATATCAACTATCCAGTCAGGGTTCAAATTTCTTTCTTTTATTTTTAAGATTTATTTATTTGTTGGAAAGGCAGAGTAACAGAGGAAGAGAGAGAGAGAGAGAAATCTCCACTCCCCAGATGGCTGCAACAACCAGGACTAGACAAGGCTGCAGCAGGAGCTTCTCCTGAGTCTCCCACATGGGTGGCAGAGCCCCCAAACACTTGGGCCGTGTTCCGCTGCTTTCCCAGGTGCATTAGCAGGGAAATGATGCAGCCCAGGCTTGAGACGGTACTGTCAGGGTTAACAGTGGCGGCTCAACGTGCTGTGCCACAGTGCTGGCTCCAGTATTCACACTGCTAATCATCTCACCACTCTACTGTGTTCTCCGGTATCCAGGGAAAGCCCACACATGGCAGTAGGTTGGTGAGTCTTTTAAGTCTCTTTCCACCTGTGAGTCTCCCTTTCCTGTCTCAATTTTCTCTGGCTTGTTGAAGGAACCAGAGCTGTGGGTCCTTTAGGAAGGTCCACGGTGGGGATCTTGCTGGGTGTTCTCACTGGGGAAGGCTGTCGCGTCGCTCTGTGTTCTGTGTGCTCCTGGGCCATCAGGCCAGCCCTGCAGCTTGAGCAGATACAGATCTGAAGTTTCCCGTTTCCTTTGCTGGCAGGCATCCATGCCTGAGTCTGTGTCTCACCCCCCGGGGGACCTCGTGTCTGCCCAGATGTCTCGTGATGTCCTTTAACTGCCACCAATGCACATACCTGCATCCGCCTGTCCCTGCGGGGTTACACAATGGCCATGCCCTCATTTTCCCTTTCCATCTTCCTTCCTTGAAGTGCAATGGATTTGTTTTAATGGGACCAGGTGACTCGTGGGTGGTGACCCATGAAGCCCAAGCCAAGGTGGATTGATTGGTTCATTCAAGGATATATATATATGTGTGTGTAATAAAAATCATACAGTACAGATTCTATAGCTAGCACCCTACCAATTGTTGCCCTTTAAGGGAGCCAGAAATATTTATTTTTTTTCACAAGTGGATTTTCTTAAAGCACTCCGACTCACACGTTTCAGAGCTCTGTGCTCTATTCTAAAGATGGGGCAATTGCCATGTATACAGCTAAGATCCCTTTTTGGGACTCTTCATACAAAGGAACTGGCTGCCTCTGTGGGTTTCATGGTCTGTGGGCCACCCTGGGGTTCTCCTTGCAGGGCACAAGGCATCCAAAGATGATGATGATGATAATGATGATGGGAAAATAGTATTAATACTAATAACAAACACTATTCAGTCACTCTGTGCTAAGCCTGTACCAGCCTGGAACATGCTTTAAGGTGGGTCATTCCTCTTTTATTCCCCCTCCAAAGTGAGTTGTTTGGGCCCAGTGCAATGGATCAGTGGCTAAATCCTCTTTTCTACAAGCTCCAGAATCCCATATCGACACTGATTCATGTCCCAGCGGCTCCACCTTCCATCCATCT